CCCACCGCCCTCTCTGCGGGTTGCCGAGTGGCGAATAGACCGGGCTCTGTTCTGGGAGATTCCGGGCCTTTCTTAGTGGGGCCGTCCGCCCGCCCTCCCCGTGCAGGACCTGGAGGAGGGATGGGGGAGGTTTGGGGGGGATGGGGCTCGGGGTGAGGTGCCCGTGGGTGACATTCAGAGGGGTCTCTGGACAGAAATGATACTGGACGTTGGGTCCACAAAACGTTGACCAAAACAGGCAGCACGGTTTGCCAACGTGAGTTTCCAAACATTGCATTAAATCATGATTTATCTTGATTACTGAGTTCTTTTCATGTTCCCTTAAATTTTGCACTTGAGGCGAATACCTCACTCACCTCACCCCGGCCCTGCCTCTGGTCCACAGCACCCAGCGTCCATGGTTTACTGGCAAGACCCTGGAACCTGGTTCCCACCCCTGACCTCCCGCCCGCGCCCCGAGGGAGGAACAGGGCTGGGAGTGGTGCCATCCTGCCATCCTGCCACCCTGCATAGCCGGAAGCAGCCTCCTTCCCCTCATCTGGGGCGGTGATGCTGGCGGAGGGCCACTAGCTCTCAGGGCAGCCCACAGAAGTGACCTCACCGCAGGCGGGGCCGGGACAGGAGCTGCCAGAGGGGAGGGCGATGGAGTTCTTAGAAAGTTAAAGCTGGAAAGAAGTCATCCAGATGGCACAGGAGGAAGCGGGGGCTCCTGGACCACAGGAGGATGGGGCAGGGGCTTGTCCAGGGACCGTCTTTATCTCCTGCTTGCAGGGCCTGGGTTCAGATTCTCTACTGGGCAGGGTGTGGTGGGCAGGCGCCCCAGGATGCCTGCCCCCTCTGGACTGTGCCTTGAAGGCTGGGCACCGGAGCCCAGCCTGGCGCATGTGTGAGGCTGTGGTAGGACTCCCCCCGGCTGCCTCCTGCCCCTAATGGTGATGCATGGAGGGAGTTTACATATCCATCTAGACATTGAGTTTCCCGGGCAGGAGGCAGCTGGACAAGTGGAGAAGCCGCAGGCTTCAGACTCCCAGCTTCCCTGTATTTACTGCGTGTGACTCGACTGCTTCAAGCCTCGACTTTCCTCTCTGGACAATGGGCGTTGAAATCCCTAGCTCATCACCTCCCTTAAGTGAGGTGGTCCGTGGCGGGTGCCTGGCCCAGCACCTGCACGTGGAAAGCATCCATGCAATCTTCGTTCTCTCTGCTGCCATCTCCAGTTACTCATTCAAGGCCCATTCCTGGGACTAACACACTCCCCTCCTCATCCAGGTCAGTGGCTTTGGTAACTAGTGACTCATCCTGGGCCCGTGTCCTCTGTCCCCCAGCTGGTACCCCATTCTCTGCGTAGCAGTACTCACCCATCATACCTGCCAAGCACACTGGTGTGTAGAATGGGGCTGGCTCTCTGACTCCAGAGCACCCCACACCAGGATGCGCCAGGCTCTGGAGGGTCCCAGGGTGAATGCCTGGCTGACCCCGCGACACGTGGGGTCCCTCCTCTACGCCCTGTCTCCTAGGCTGCTCTTCTGGCCGCCCTCTTGGTCTGGGGGCTGGTGGGTGGGGCAGAAGCTGGTCCCTTGTCAACGGGCTCTGCCCGGCAGGGCTGCTGCTCCCCTCCCCCACTCCCACTGGCTCCCGGGACCCTGATTCGATTTCCTCCAATCACCAGCATTGCCATCTGCCTGTGGTAATTAAATGGTGCTTGAACCGGATCCAGAAATCCCATCGCAAGCAGCCCACGTGGCAGGGAGGGCGTCTGTGGGAGCTGGAGAGGCCTCAGAGGCTGCCGCCCGCCAGGCCCCTGGTCCCCTTGGGAGCCCTGGACACCTGGGTCCTCCAGGCCCAAGCTCCTGATTTCCTGCCTGAGGCCCGGTCCCCTCTGAGGTCAGTGCCTGGCACGCTGGGCCCTGCCCCTCAGCCACATGAAGCACAGGAGCATCGAAGCAGCAGAGCACGCACCACCCGGGCTCAGACCCTGTTGCCTGCGACTGGCTGGGCACCATCTATTTCCCCATCCACGGTGGGGACCACAGCGTCCCCCTCGGTGTGGTCGCGCGTGTCGGCTGCCACCACCGGCGGTCCAGGTGGGAGCGCTGCAGCCTGGGCGTCTTACTGGCAGGTCAGGTTTCTGGTCTGCAGGTGCAGAAAGGAATCCACAGCTCCCTTCCCAGCCAGAAACTAGTCTGGGGGAGACTGAGAAGCTAGATTCTCACTTCAGCCTGACCCGGAACAGCTGGATGTGGGGAGAGGGTGGTAGCCTCCTTGGACGTCCGGACCTGGCAGCCTCCATGGTGTGAGGACCTGTCCACACCTCAGGGGAAAGGCTGCTGAAGGAAGGCCACCATCCATGGGTGTGAACTGGACCTGGGGTTCTAACCACCTGCTCCCCCGGCCTCTTTAACCCCCTCGCAGCAAAGTGCAGGTAGCAGGCCCAGGTGAGCACCTCACCTGGCCTGCAGCTCTGAGGGGCCTCGGGGGCTGGACAGCCGGGGACAGGGACAGGATGGCGGCTTGGAGGGCCCGCCTATGCAGCGAGGCGCCCCGAGGTCCCGGACGCCTGCCGGCCTGGCCCTCGCACTCTTTTCTTCTCTTGGTAAATGTTGGCTTACGGAGAGGGCTGCTGACAAGTAGCTCATTGTGAGAGGCCGGCAGAGGGGCTGGCCTTGTGAGCCCATGAGCTCGGAGCCTCCCCCCCCCCCCCCCCCCCTTCTTTGGGCCCTGGGGGGGTCCCCCCCGCCAATCCCGACACACGCATGCTCACTGACTCACACTTGGTTGCCATGGGGACCTCCTCCGGCCGTGGCTGCTTGGAAAAGGGGAAGGGGTGGCGCATGCAGGCGGCCCCCCCGCCGCCTTACTTTAGGCATCAGGAGGTGCTCCCCGCCAATCCCGACACACGCATGCTCACTGACTCACACTTGGTTGCCATGGGGACCTCCTCCGGCCGTGGCTGCTTGGAAAAGGGGAAGGGGTGGCGCATGCAGGCGGCCCTGTCCAAGGCTGCGCCCCCCCTTAGCCTTGATGCCGCTTCCCTTCCTCTTTACCGGGGAGCCCCCAGGGTCTGGGATGCGGCCCCTCCTGTGGCTGGTGCCCCTGCTGGAGGTCCCTGCCTTTCTCCAACTTTTGCCTGGACCTGCTCTGCCGGGCTGTGCCTGGTCTGGCGCCCTTGGCTCCCTGAGAGGAAAGAGCTTGTGCCTGAGACTGCTCCTCCGGCATCTGGTAGAGGGGGGGCGGGTCCAGAGCTGGGGGATCCCTGCAGCCCCCGCAGGCCTGGGCAGAGACGCAGGTCTCCTGCGGAACGTAGCCCCGGGCGGAGCAGCCAGGCCTCGCCCTTCCTTCCCCAGCCTGGTCTTGGGCTTTGCCTCCCCAGAAGGGGGCCAGCTGCCTTCTCTGCCCGGCTCTGTAGGACAGACTCACGCGCTCCAATTGGGAGCGTGTGCTTTAATGTCAGTCAGTCCTGTCACGGTCCGTTACACAACCCTGGGCAAGTCATTTAAACTCTCCCAACCTCTGTTTTCTCCTCTGTAAAATCAGGAAAATAATACATACCTCGCCGGTTTGTGGTAACGAATACATGAATTCATTTAGGTAAAATACCTTTAACATAGATTGGATACACAGAGTGCTCATAAAATGTTAGCGGCTGCGACTTTGGGGGGTGTTGACGTTACCATTACCGTTATTGTTAGCGTAGTATTACAAAGCTGCCCCCATCCTAGGTTTCCTTCCTTCATCCTCCCGCTTGTGGGGCAGGAGGGGCCTGGGGGGGTGGAGGCTTGGTGGCAGGACGGGGAAGACGGTGGCTGCAGTCCCCCCGCAGCTGGGTCTGACCCAGGACTCCCCCCACCCCGGGCAGGATCCGGCCCCAGCTGTCAAAAGAGAAGATTGAGGGCTGCCACATCTGCACCTCGGTCACCCCGGGGGAGCCGCAGGTCCTCCTGGGGAAGGACAAGGCCTTCACCTATGACTTTGTGTTCGACCTGGACACCTGGCAGGAGCAGGTTTATTCTACCTGCGTGAGCAGGCTCGTGGAGGGCTGCTTCGAGGGCTACAATGCCACGGTGCTGGCCTACGGGCAGGTAAGCTACCTCCTGCCACCTACAGCCACTGCTACCCCGGGCTCCCTGTCTGATGGGAGACAGAGCCGCCCTCAGAGCAGCTGAGACGCAGCTGCAGTTTTGTCTGTGGTCCGAGGGTGCTGCTGCGCTGCTGGCTGTGGCTTTGGGACCAGGCCGGGCAGGGACCCAGGCTGGGAGGTAAACGAGTGGGACGCAGCCAGGGTCCGGGGCTCGCTGGCGCCCCCAGGGTGACACCCTCCTTCCATCTTTGCCCACGCAGACGGGGGCTGGGAAGACGTACACTATGGGCACCGGTTTCGACGTGGCGATGGCGGAGGAGGAGCAGGGCATCATCCCGAGGGCCATCGCGCACCTCTTCGGGGGCATCGCTGAGCGCAAGCGGCGGGCACAGGAGCAGGGTGTGGCTGGGCCCGAGTTCAAAGTCAGCGCCCAGTTCCTGGAGGTACCGTGGCCTCGTGGGTGGGCTGGAGGGAGACGGGGGCAGCAAGACCTGGAAGCTGGGCTTCCCCGCCAGGGCCGCAGGAAGAGCCTGGGGAGCCAGGGAGCCATCTGCATGTGATGAGGTTCCCGCTGCTGGAAGTACCCCCGCCAGAGCCGGGGGGCCACCTGGGGGGACACTGAAGGGGCTTCCTGCCTCAGACGGAGCTTGAGTCAGTGAGAACCTGTAGGATCTCTTCAAACCCTGACTGATTACAGCTCCGACACGTACCAGTTGTGTGCCCTTGGGCAAGTCGTTTCACCACTCTGCAAAATGGGGGTGATGACACCTACTTCCTAGGGGTTTCAGGGGATGATGAGGAAGCATCTGCCCAGCACACAGTGAGACTCTAGTTCTCGCCCCTTCTGGCCTCTGCTGGGCCCCCCCCCACCCAGCCTCAGAGCGGCCTGCCCTGCCCCTTTCTGGTTGAGGTCCTTCCTGACCCTCTGAGCCTTTTCTAACCCCAGAGCAGAAAGGTCCTCCTGAGAGGCCTTTCTGGCATCTGGCCCTGCCTCTCCCTGGGAGGATGTCCGGGTGCCGAGCCCAGGGACCGTGGCAGCTAGGGGCTTTGGGGGTGGAGAGGGGACCTCTGGCCTGCCAAGGGGCCTCTCAGAAGCGTCTACAGGAAGGCTGGTGGGCCTGGGTACTTCTCGTGAGGCCCGGTGTCACCAGGCTCCTGCTCTAGCACACCTGGACCGGGCAGCTCCAGTTCCCAGTGTCCATACTCCAGCTCACGGACCCCCGGCCCTGGGACGTTTGCTGGGTGTGGAGCCACCCTGGGCTCAGACTGCACCCAGGTTGTCCTCGGGGGGAGAGATGTGGCCCCAGCCCTCCCCAGGTCTTGTGTTACCCCCACCGCCACGCCCCCTGACCCCGGCCCCAGCGTGGCTCCTTCCTGGGCCTGCAGCGTGGCTGCTTTCCCCTTAGGGGACCTGTACTGTAGACTTGAGAGTTTCTCTTCATTCTTCTGGACTTTTGCTTCTGATAGAGTCGGCCTCTGTGTGTGTATATGTGCATATATGTGTATGTGTGTGTGTGTGTAGGCATGTGCGTGTGTCTGCGTGTACGTGTTCGTGTGTATATGTATGCGTAGATGTGTGTAGGTGCATGTTTGTGTTTGTGTGTAGGCATGTGTATATGTGTGTGTCTGTGTATGTGTGTAGGTATATGTGTGCGTATGTGTGTGTGTCTGTGTGTGTCTGTATATGTGTTTGTGTGTATGCGTGTCCTATGCTGTGTATTTCTATAAGCTTCCTCATCTCTTTGTTTTTTCCTTTCTCCATCCTTTTGCCATAGAGAGCCCCAAAGAGCAGTTCAGTACCTAGAAAACCCATGCCAAAGGGTGACCCACAAGGGGTTAAATGATGCCATGCGTCTGTCCCAGCAGACAGACAGACACCAAGGCCCCCACGTCTGCACCGGTCCCTGCCGTTTCCTCTTCCCCTTCCTGTGGGGTATTTCTGTCCCTTTAAGCCCATCAAAGCCTCGGATGTCCGAGGGCTGTGGCCTGCCCCCTCCCCCCACGGGATTCTGTTGGCTGCTGACCGGCTGCCCCATCCCTCCTGCTCTCCAGCCCCAGCCCCCTCATGGTGAAAATGCCAGCAGGTGAAACTTTCCCTGCCGGCAACTCCAAACACAAGAGTCTGCAAGCCTGAGACCCTCTGAAATGGGGTGCTGCTCCCGGCCAGGCCACCTCCCATGGTGGCGTCCCCAGACCACTCTCTTCAGCCCCCAGGGACCATAGGGATAGGATAGGGCGCTGCTCAGCTCTCCACTGAGTTCCACCCCCCTCCCTCCTGGAGCCACACCCCCGCCCCCCTTTCCCGCCCTGTAACATCCCAGGCTCTGCCCCAACCACGGTCACATGCTGTTCGTCCACGTGAGGACTCGAGTCCCCTTGTCCCCACCAGGTCCTTAGCCCCCCACCAGGGCTGAGCGCTGGGTGCCACTTCCTTGGGGAGTGGAAGGGCTCTCAGGATAGCTCTCACCGGGGCCCAGCTGCCCTACGCTGTCCAGGGGAAAGATCCCGGAGCCAGAGGCCAGAGAGGACCGGGGATGGCCAGGTCGCCTCCCAGAGCCTGGTTTCCACACCTGCAAAGCAGAGCTGGCCTGTGACATGAGAGAGAGCCCCGAGGGCCCCTCCGCACCCACCTGCACCCAGCAGCTGTCTTCCGCCCGCACAGCTCTACAACGAGGAGATCCTCGACCTCTTCGACAGCGCCCGCGACCCTGACGCCCGCCACCGCAGGTCCAACATCAAGATCCACGAGGACGCCAACGGCGGCATCTACACCACGGGCGTCACCTCCCGCCTCGTCAGCTCCCAGGAGGAGGTGAGCATCTGAGGAGCCGCCCGGGGGCTGGGGGCCGGGGGCCGGGCTTTGCAGCCAGCTGGTCCTCACGTCTACCCTCCCTAGCTGATCCAGTGCCTGAAGCAGGGCGCCCTGTCGCGCACCACGGCCAGCACCCAGATGAACGTGCAGAGCTCCCGCTCCCACGCCATCTTCACCATCCATGTGTGCCAGATGCGCCTGTGCACCCGGCCCGACCTGGTGAGGAGCCCGCGGCGGCGTGTCGGAGGGCGGTGTGGGCACGGAGCCCGGGCTCTGGGGGTTCGGGCTCACCCTGCCGGCTTGCGGACCTTTCTTTTTCTCGGGCGGGGAGAACCGGCACGTGCACGCAGTCAGATGCGCTGTGTGTGTGAGCCCCCCAGCCACGCTGCACCCCGAATCCCGAGGGCAGGGGCTGCAAGCAGAGAAGCCCAAGGTGGGCGGGGGCCGGGAGTCACACGCCCGCTTCCCTGCAGGTGAACGAGGCCGTGACCGGGCTTCCCGACGGCACCGCTCCCTCGGGCGAGTATGAGACGCTCACCGCCAAGTTTCACTTTGTGGACCTGGCCGGCTCAGAGCGGCTGAAGCGGACGGGGGCCACAGGCGAGCGGGCCAAGGAGGGCATCTCCATCAACTGTGGCCTGGTAGGCACGCGGCGGCCAGCACGGCTCAGCCTCAGACCCTAACCAGGCCCACCTTGGGCCGGCTACTGGCCGGAGCCCCATATGTCACTACTGTTGGGCCTCTGGACCTTCCCCCTACCCCTGTCTCCGACTGCCTGACGTCACCAACCATCACACATCTGCCTTTAAACCCTCAGGGAGCCTGAGAGCTGCTGGGGTCAGCAGGGCAGGTCCTGCGGCTCACGAGTCGCTGGTCCCACCCCCCTCCCTCCCTGGGTGCTCTCGAGCGAGCGCTGCCTGTCTCCCGCAGCTGGCCTTGGGAAACGTGATCAGCGCCTTGGGGGACCAGAGCAAGAAAGTGGTGCACGTGCCCTACAGGGACTCCAAGCTCACCCGGCTCCTCCAGGACTCGCTGGGCGGCAACAGGTACCTGCCCACCACCCCAGGGAGGGGCAGGGGTGAAGGCGCAGGGGCACACTGGTGGGAGGGTTGGAGCCAGGAGGCCCAGTGGACAGGGGGCCCTCCCGCCCCTGTGGGCCACAGGCCTCGAGGTGCCCGTCGGCCACTACGGTCGGACCCAGCTTTCTCGCCTGCACAGCAGGGAGGGATAGTCCTAAAGGAGGTGCTAGAGCCCAAAGGGGAAAATAGACGGGGGCACTAAGGACACACAAAGGGCCATGATTTCGGCGATGACACATCACGGCCTCCCTCGCTGTGGTCACCACTGTTGGAGTGGAAACCTGGGCCAGGTAGTCCGGATCCCCACGTCCCAGGTTCTGCCCAGGTCCTTAGGGCTTCCAGGCAGGAGCGGGATCTGCTCTGAAGTGATGCTCCTGGGCCGGCCATGCCCTCATCCCTCACTCCCCACCCCACTCCCCCATGCTCCCCAGCCAGACCATCATGATCGCCTGCGTGAGCCCCTCTGACCGGGACTTCATGGAGACGCTCAACACGCTCAAATACGCCAACCGAGCCCGTAACATCAAGAACAAGGTGGTGGTGAACCAGGACAAGGCCAGCCAGCAGCTCAGCGCGCTGCGGGCCGAGATCGCGCGCCTGCAGATGGAGCTGATGGAGTACAAGGCGGTGAGCGGGCCCGCCCCACACCCCAGCCTTCCCGCGCCCTGGGCATCGCCATGTGCCAGCCGCGGCGCCCAGTGCCGGGCTCACCTGGTGGGTGACCTGCGCATACGAAGTCGGAGCCCTCAGGGCTTAGAATATAAGAGAAGAGAGAGCACACCCCTGGTTGCATAGATCTCATGTGTAGGGCAGACGCTCTGCTGGGGTTTCCCGTCTGCTGAATATGCCGTGTTGGACCAGGTAGGACTCTAGGCTGCGGCACAGAGTGAGGAGAGTTGATGGGGACCACGTGAGTGGTCCAGCGTGCCTGGGGGATGCTGCAGGAGAGGGTTGGCCCTCCTTGCTCAGGTGGTCAGGGAGGGCCTCATGGAGGAGGGGACCTTTTATATGGATCTTGAGGAATGAATGAGATACCAGCAAAAGGAAGTGGAGCAGGTGTCCTAGGACGCCAACAAGCCACGTGCAAAGGAACAGAGACAGGAAAAATGAGTGCCTTTGGGGGTGCGTCCCATTCTATGTGACTAAGGCAAAAGTCACCAGCTGTGGCCCCTGGCCCTAACCTAGCCCACAAGTGGGTTTTGGTTTGACTCGCCTTTTGCTTTAAAAGAATGCAACGTAGTTGTCATGCTTTCTGAAAATCAGGGAGTTTCTGTTTTCCTTTAAAAATCTGAAGATGTAACGATCTGGCGCCGAGCTGGCTGGAGTGGCCCAAGTGGCTGCGCCTTTTAGACTGAGGGCGACTCTGTGCTCCAATCTCCATCCCTCCCTGTAGTCTCACACCCAGACTGCCGTCCTCCTTCGTGCCACCCACCGGGGCCCTTCGGGTTCCGACCCTCGGGTTCGTGTCTGGGGAGACGGGAAGGTGAGCAGTAGAGAGGGAGATGGAGTGAGAACACTGTGGCCTGCAGTGGCTGGTCACAAAATGTGGACTTTTTGTTGTCATTTGGGCCACGGCAGGTTTCTGAGCGCTGGGAGGCCCCTGACCCCTCGCCCCGCCCCTCCTCCCAGGGCAAGAGGGTGATCGGGGAGGATGGCGCCGAAGGCTACAGTGACCTGTTCCGGGAGAACGCGATGCTGCAGAAGGAGAACGGGGTGCTGCGCTTGCGGGTCAAGGCCATGCAGGAGGCCATCGACGCCATCAACAGCCGTGTCACACAGCTCATGAGCCAGGAGGCCAACCTGCTCCTGGCCAAGGCCGGTGAGTCAGGAGTGCCAGGCTGGCTCCGGGCGCGGGTGGGCTGGGCCCTCCGCCCCCCACCCAGCCCGGGACGTGGGGCGTGCAGGGCGGCGTTTTCTTTCTCTGAAAATGCGATCATATGTACTGTCCTCTGACTCCCTTTCCAGGTAGCATTACGCCATAGGGATCTTTCTGTATTTTTTTAAAATTATTTTTGGCTGCATTGGGTCTTCGCTGCTGTGCGCGGGCTTTCTGTAGTTGCGGTGAGCGGGGGCTAGGTTTTGTTGCGGTGCGTGGGCTTCTCATCACGGTGGCTTCTCTTGTTGCGGAGCATGGGCTCTAGGCGCACGGGCTTCCGTAGTTGTGGCACGCGGGCTCTAGAGCGCAGGCTCCACAGTTGTGGCGCACGGGCTTCGTTGCTCTGCGGCATGTGGGATCTCCTCAAACCGGGGATCGAACCCGTGTCCCCTGCATCGGCAGGCGGATTCTTAACCACTGCGCCACCAGGGAAGTCCCGGGATCTTTCCGTGTTAAAAACATACAAGCCTACTTCTCTTCAGCGGCACAGTGTTCCATATGTGATGGCGACGAATAATTTATCATAACAGCCTTTATCGATGGATATTTGCTTGTTTCCAGTCTCGCTGTTAGCAGCTGCGCCCGTGTGTCTCTGCGCCCACAGACAAGTCCCTCTTTGATAGATCCCTCCTTGAAAAAGGCCCTGTTGGAGGAGGCACTGATACAAGGCCACCAGCTTGGAGCTAAGGTCCTCGCTGTACTTATTACCTTCACTGTCCTTCCTCCCTGCCACCCCCTCAGGAGACGGCAGCGAGGCCATCGGCGCTCTGATCCAGAACTACATCCGGGAGATTGAGGACCTGCGGTGAGTGAGCCCCTGCGCACCTGGGCGCCCGGGGGCCCAGGCAGTGCCACTCACCCGCCCCCCACCCTCCCTTCCGCAGGACCAAGCTCCTGGAGAGCGAGGCCATGAACGAGTCCCTGCGTCGCAGCCTCTCTCGGGCCTCGACCCGGGGTCCCTGCTCCCTGGGCGCGTCCCCGGTCGTCCCGACCGGCTCCATGGAGGACGCCGCTGAGGTCATCCGCCGAGCCAAGCAGGACCTGGAGAGGCTCAAGAAGAAGGAAGTCAGGCAGCGGAGAAAGAGGTGAGGGGAGGCTCCCCCCGAGGCGGCCCCCAGGTCCCTGTGCCCAGCAGGGGCTGTACGTACCCCGGGTGACCTGGGGACCCAGTGGGCGGGTCTCGTTCGTGGGCAGAAGCCTCCCACCTTCCTCTGACGCTGGGCTTTCCCCGAGGAGAGGGAGGGTGGGGTCCACCCAGGGTTCCTCCTGAGTTGGGGGCCAGGGGAGAGCAGTGGATCCCTGCAGAACCGGAGCCCAGCCCATACAGGGCCCTAGGGACGAGGCGCTCTTGCCCCCCCCCCGCCTCACCCACACACTGAAGGCAGGTCAGTCCCCTAACCGGTCCCCCCTTCACTCCTGGGCAGCCCAGAGAAGGAAGCCTTCAAAAAGAGGGCAAAACTCCAACAGGAGAACAGCGAGGAGACCGATGACAATGAGGCCGAGGAGGTGAGGGTCCCCCGCCCACCTCGGGCCGCCCCCATGTCCCTGCCGGGGTGCGGCTCCCCATGAAGTCCTTACGCCGGGGAGGGGTTCCCTATGCCTCGCGCTGTCTGACTGGCCACCATGGTGACGTCCATCCTTCAGCCCCTCCTCCCAGCTGGGGGATGGGGGCGGGAGGCTTCCACAGCGGGGCTCTGCCCAGGCTGTTGGGAGGCGGGGGTGGGAGGCCCCCCCTGCACCGCGCCGCCCCCACTCCCCACCCTCCTGACGGCGCCTGGTGCCCAGGAGGACGAGGAGCCAGAGGAGAGCGGCCGTGAGGACGAGGACTCGGGCAGCGAGGAGAGCCTGGTGGACTCGGACTCCGACCCCGAGGACAAGGGTGCGTGCGTGCGTGCGTGCGTGCGTGCGTGCGTGCGTGCTCCTGGGCGGGGCTGCCTGCCACGCAGGCGCAGAGAAACTGCTGTGGCAGCGGGTGTCGCGGCCGAGCTCAGACGTGAAACCAGTAGTAGCAGAGACAGCAGGGACGCGATGGCAGCAGCAAGCTGTCCCCGAGCGCCCGCGGGTGCCGGGCACTGAGGTGGGCTCTGCCCTTCACGGGCCTGGCCTCTCATCCTCACAGCCACCCCGGACGGAGGTGTTCGGTCTCCTCCCTTTGTCGCCACTGAAGAGCAAGCTCACGAGTGTTGGTGGCCTCCCCCGGTGTGGGAGACGCAGAGCTGGGCCTTGGGCCTAGGTCTGGCTGGTCTGCAGCCCACTCCTCTGTACGGGACGTGTGTCCCTCAGCTCTGCTCCGACCCTGAGTCCTGCTGGCTGTTCTGGGTCCTCTCCCTCCTTCAGCCCTGCTGGCTCCCAGGTCGTCCACGCGAGTGGGCATCAGCTTCTGGGGCGCAGCAGAGGTGGGTGGGACGCCTGGTTCCCCCCACCCCCACCCCCCAGCTCCCCGGCCCAGGCCCGCACTTCCCGGGCAGCTCTTTAAGGGTGTTGCCACCTGGCAGCACCTTCCCACCATGTGATGTGTCACTTCCTCTCGCCACTGGTCACTGAGTGGTCACGGCTGGCCAGGGGAAGGCCCGTCCCCTCCACCACGCCCCTGGCTCCCGGCCCCCGGTCCAGCCTGTCTCTGCCCCCACAGAGGTGAACTACCAGGCTGACCTGGCCGACCTGACGTGCGAGATCGAAATCAAGCAGAAGTTGATTGACGAGCTGGAGAACAGCCAGCGGCGGCTCCAGACGCTCAAGCACCAGTACGAGGAGAAGCTGATCCTGTTGCAGAACAAGATCCGGGACACGCAGCTGGAGCGGGACCGCGTGCTGCAGAACCTCAGTGAGGCCCCGCCCCACGAAGCCCCGCCCCGTACCCGCCACACACACCCTCCCCGGGCCCCTCCCCGTCAGAAGGGCACCACCGGGTTACCTGGGCCTCTGGGCGGGGCATTCTGACCTTGAACTGTGTGCACTTAGACCCACAGAAAGTTCTTGTGTCCAACTCTGGTCCCTTTGCTACGTTCTCAGTTTATCATTTCTATTATTTTTACCATCGCCTTAAGTATTGGAATCCTGACTCCAGGCCCATGAAGGTGAACTCCCTCAGCCTTTGCTCCTTCGGTGTTTCCTTTGATCACATTTACAAGTCGGCTTCTCACAATGTTATCTTCCTTACATGGCTCTCAGCCCCTTCATCCCATGACTCACTCACTCATCCACTCATCGTTCACTTACTCAGCAAACATGCATTGAGTGCGTCTTGCAGAGCGGTCCTTGTTCTAGATGCTAGAGATTTTGGAACGCACGTTCTAGTGGGGAGAGACAGACGTAAATAAGATAAGTGGTAGATCCTATAGCATGTCAGGGGGTGATAAGTGTCATGGAAGAATGCAGCAGGGAAGGGGGCAAGGTGTGCTGGGGAGGGGGTGGGCGTGTTGAGAAGGATGGTCGTGGGAGACTTTGCTGAGAAGCTGGCATCTGAGCAAAGACTTGAAGGAGGTGAGACAGTGCTGGAGAGAATGAGTGAGGGGAAGAGCATTGCAGGCAGAGGGAACAGAAGATACCAAGGCCCCGAGGCAGGCGTGCACCAGGCGTGTTGGTGGCATGACGAGGGCCCCGATGGCTGGAGCACGGTGAGAGGGGACACTAGCCGTCAAGGAGATCAGAGGAGACATGTCAGACCAGGTGTGTCAGTCATTTTAAGGATTTTTGTCTTATTCTCTGAGAGACATGGGAAGTGTGGGGGTTTAAGGGGTGTGATGTATTTTTTTTTTTTTTTTTTTTTTTTTTTGCGGTACGCGGGCCTCTCACTGCTGTGGCCTCTCCCGTTGCGGAGCACAGGCTCCGGACGCGCAGGCTCAGCGGCCATGGCTCACGGGCCCAGCCGCTCCGCGGCACGTGGGATCTTCCCGGACCGGGGCACGAACCCGCGTCCCCTGCATCGGGAGGCAGACTCTCAACCACTGCGCCACCAGGGAAGCCCTGTGATGTAAATTTTGAAAGCATTCTGGCAAGGTTGCTTTGGCTGCTGTGCAGGGAAGCAAAAGTGGAAGCTTGAGACCAGTTAGGAAACTCTTACAAAGGTCCTGGTGAGAGATGGTTTGGACAGGAGGAAGTGAGAAGTGGTCGTATTCCAGATCCATTCTGAAGGTGGAAATGACAGCCTTTGTTGATTGGTTGATGGGGGATTAAGAGAAGGGAGCCAAAGACGCCTCCAGGGAGGGAGCTTCTGGAAGGACGTGATGAGATACTGAGATGGGGAGGACTGCTGGGTGAGGGGGTGGAGGTCGAGGAGGTGGGTTTGCACCTGCTACTTCGTCGTGTCTCTTAGACGTTGGCAGTTCAGGTAGGAAAGGTCAGGGTTGGAGAACCAGGTCGCTCCTTCTGCCCGAGCCCACGCTCTCTGTCTTCTCTTGCTCGCTCTTCCCCTTCCCACTGGTCCCGGCCCTTTCCTCCCATCGCGGGTCAGAACTGAGCCCGCGGGAGTGATCCTCAGGCCCCTCATGGCAAGCTGACGGGCAGGGACTCGGAGATCTCAGGATGAAATCACCCTTCAGGGTCCCTAGGATGCCCTTGGGTGTCTAGTGTGAGCCCCTCCTCGTTCACACGAAGGAACGGGCGGAGGAGGCTGTGACTCGCCCTCGTCACGCGCCGACCCTGGAGCCCGTGGGGTCCAGGGACCTGCGCAGACCCTGCCCCGCTGCACGCAGGTACCATGGAGTGCTACACGGAGGAGAAAGCCAACAAGATCAAGGCGGACTATGAGAAGAGGCTGCGGGAGATGAACCGGGACCTGCAGAAGCTGCAGGCCGCGCAGAAGGAGCACGCGCGGCTGCTCAAGAGCCAGTCTCGCCACGAGAGGGAGCTCAGGAAGCTGCAGGCTGAGGTGGCCGAGATGAAGAAGGCCAAGGTGGGGCCCGGGGCGGGGGCGTGGCCGAGGTGGGAGCGGGGCGTGGCCGAGGTGGGAGGGGGGCGGGGCCGAGGGGGGAGCGGGGGCGGGGCCGGGGCTGAGATGAAGAAAGCCTAGGTAGGGGCGGGGCTGGGGTGAGTGGGGGCGGGGCCGAGATGAAGGCGTCGCAAGGGGGCTGGGGGGGCAGGGGTGTAGTTTCAGACCCACTTACTGTGTTAAAAATAATCGTTGCCGTCAGCGTGGCTGCTTGTCTTGACACACGAGACATTGCCTGTTTCAGCCCCATCCTGGTCCTGGACCCGGTCCTCTTAGTGCGTTGTCCAGGGTGAAAGCACCTTTCCCCC